TGTACCTACACATACATACACAGGTGTGCACACACACAAATAATAAAAATAAATCTTTAAAAATTTAATTTTTAAAATAATTTTTAATTGATTCTGGAATTTCATACAATATATTTTGATAACATTCAGACCCCCCTCCCCACCTCTAGCCCCTCCCTACAACCCCCCATTTCATGCCCTCCATTATTGTCTAGCCTTTTCCTTTCTTTCTTCATTTAATTTTTTGCTTTTTAAAGACATACCAATTCCAATCCATGCCTTTCAAGTGCTCCGGGGTATGGATTCATGCCCTGAGTCTGCTCAGCTCACCAGGCATCACAGCAGTGAGGAAAACTGACCCTCTTCCTCTCAGCATCTATCAGTTGCCAGTAGATCCTCAGCTGGGGCTGGGCTTCTTGCCTCCTTCCCCCATCCATGCTGGGCGTCTCTTTGGCCTAGGTTTGCACAGGTCTTGTGCATGCTGTCCTAAGTGCTGTGCGTTCACATGTGCAACCACCCTGTGATGTCCAGAGAGCAGTTTGTGTTCATCTACCACCTCTGGCTTTTACAATCTTTTTGCCGGATCTTCTACAAAGATCCTCGAGCCTTCAGAGGAGAAGGTGTGATATGGGTAACCCATTTTTGGTTGAGCACTGTGTAATCTCTTGTTTTGTGCACATTGACTATTTGTGGGTCTCTGAGTTAATCATTATCTGCTGCAAGAAGCTTCTCTGGTGAGAGTTGAGCAATGGATGTAACAAGTCATCGTGAGTCCGTTTAATACTATGTCTGTTTAGCAGAATGATAGTAGCAGGTTCTCCCCTGTGGCCTATGATTTGCCTAGACACAGGTTCTTGTCCTGATAACAGTGTCCCGTATGGATTCCCTGTTGTGAAGGTTGTCTTAAGTGCAATTAAAAGGTAATTGCTGCCGGGCGTGGTGGCGCACGCCTTTAATCCCATCAGAGACAGGCGGATCTCTGTGAGTTCAAGGCCAGCCTGGTGTACATAGTGAGTTCCAGGACAGCTATAGGGAGACCCTGTCTCAAAAAGATTAAAAAAAGGTGATTACTTACTCCCATGATATTTGTGTCACTATAAA